GTTACTTCAATTCTGTTTATGACCTTGGGTATAAGACTAGTAGGTAAATGGGAAGGAGGAGGTTTTCTAAAAACCCTCTTCAGTTTTCAAAACCCAAGAGGTTTTTTTTCCTCCCCTCTTTAGTGCCCTAATTTATTAAAAGCCATCGACTATCAACATATAAAATGGCCGGTAGCATATATACTTAGGAAGGTGGACAAACCAGTGGGAGAAATCAAAGGCTGAGTCAAAAAGGAATACAAAAATTTCTGAAGCCTTATGAGATCTGATGGCTGTTGTGCACTAGGCATGAAACTTTGGTTAGAGCCTCCTCCCCGCCCTACATATTCACACAGCCCTGTTGGAATCCTGCAAAATAGCACTCCCAATAATTACTTCCTTGTCAGGCAATTACTTCCTTGTTTCTTGGGAAGACCCATAGTGGTATATGGGTTGAAACAGAGAAGAACAGAATACAGATAGCAAAACTGGGTTCATAAAAGTAGACTGAGAGACAGTATTCTCTTGCAACCTGAAATTTTCTCATCACTGACCAAGGGATGCAAGGAGCTCCTGCCTCCCCTTTCCCATCCACACACTTACACCTGCTGTCATTCTTCATATTTCCCTGTGAAGGCAGTCTGACTTTTACCCAGTGAAAAATGTAATTCAGACAGCTGTATGAAAACTTTTGCCTTTAGGAAGTAAAGCAAAGTTTCTCAATAACATTAATAGCAATTTTCACCCCAAGGAACTGGGCCTCAGTAAATACTGTATATGATGACCCATTACATGGAAAACAATCTGGAGGTTATGGTAAAGTATGCGTGCAGCTTACCCTATTATACTATTTTTTTTCTTATCAATTTAAATTTATAAGACAGAGTTTTCCTTTTCTTGATAACCCTATGTTGATTATTTCTAGTGAAGTAGCAGCTAATTCATAAAAGATGGGGGAAGGAAGTTAAATAAAGGATCGTAGGTTCCTTATGAGTTATCATCTCCATCAATGAAATGTAATTTTTAGAAGAAAGTGAAAAGTGACAAAAATAAATCTTGTTTCTTGGGACAATTGGCCAACCACAGCTAATATTAACTGATTAAGCAGGCTTGTTTAAAGCATTTGTAGTGAATAGTATGGTTAATAGGAGTCAAGTGTGTGTGTAATATGTATAATTATGCATTCAGGATTGTTTGCAATGCATCATAAATGTTGTAAGGGCAAATTCTGTCATGATGGGGAAATGTGCACTGTATCAGAAATCTAACTAAGGGACATTTGAAGACAGTTGGAGTTTTGTTATCAATTAAGTGACTAAATGGTTTTTTTCTTATGCCTCTGGTAGTTAGTTCATGACCACCAAATTCTGAAAGATACTCTACCTCCTTCATTTAGCTCTGGAAGTTGAGTTTAAATATCCCATATGATTGTGGGCTTCTCTTTTTGTCATGAACTATTAGAATGATCTAGAAACAGATGCTTGTAAACCATATTACTATCACCTAGCATCTAAAGTTAAAGAAATTGGAAAATTAGAAGTAATGCTTTTGCTTATAAGCTTTTACTTTCATAGATGCACTAATTTTGTATTACAGAAATGGCTGTAGTACTTAGTCACATGACTGTTGCTGTAAACCAAGTCCTACTTTGCCATACTGGTTTGCGAAGTAGATAGAGAGTAGAAGGAACCCTCTTTTCATGCCAAACGGCAGAACAGAATCTCTCCATTAGTATGTCTGCAAACAGTAGGAGAGACTGGTCCTACTATTTTAGGGGAAGTACTGGGCCATCACTCAGCAAGAGGTGATATGTAAAGGTTGCATGCACTCCTGTCCAAAGGAACAGCAACGTTCACTCCAGTTTATGCATGCTGGATCCTGCATTTATTCCAAAAAAGTTTTGATTTCAAAAGGCTTTACCATTACCATTTATTACCAAACCCTTGTTACACTGTTTAGATAAAACTGCTTAATTGTAAAGCTAGATTTTAAAAGGGTGTTCAGAATGCTAACTAATAATGTGCTTAGTGACAGGGTATTTTTCAAATCACTTATATGAATGATTAATCTAACTTTTGCCGTCTTTATTGTGGCTTTCGCATAACTATTGAGATCTGTGATTGCCCTAATAAACCAATTAAGAACTCGTGCTTTCTTTAAACAGCAGTTTCCTGAAACGACAATATCTTGTGCTCATCTTGTTCCAGTAATCAGATATTTTATATCATAAAAATAAGTGTAATATTAAGTAAAAGTGTTACAAAAAGACAAATGAGTAACATTGTAATTAGAAACATGAGTTGGGGGTGGGGGGGCGGGATTTTTTTTTTTTTAAATTCAGACATGGTAGGTAGAAATATTTTGTTACAAAGCAAACATGTTCAAGCATAATAAGGAAAAAAAACAATTACCTTTTTACCAAAAAAAAAAAATTTTGTTTTTTTGTCAAACAGCAGTAAAAATCCTCCTCCCCTCTCCCCCCGGACTTTTTTATTATACTAAAGTCAAACAGACTTCTCCCACAGTTTCCTGCTGAAAGCTGCTGTGCCAGTGGTTAGTTATTCTCAACCATGCCATGGCATCTTGGGGTGCCTTGAGATCCTTTCAGAGTGCCACAGAAGGCCACTCAGCATTAGCACTGTTGGGTTTACAGAAGTCATTCGCAAGATAATCCCAGAGATTTCAACTAGAAATCCACAGTTGTGGTCTTTCTGACTTCTTTGCAAAAGAAGTGAAAAGGAGTGAAAACCTACAAGCTGGCACCGAGGGGTGCCTTGAGTCTATCCAGGGGATGCCTTAAGTTTAAAAAGGTTGAGAATCCCTGGCTTAGAGCTTCAGACTGGGACTTGAGAAATCTGGGTTCAGTGCCTTATTCTGCCACATATTTTGCCTGTTATTGAGTATGTCACCTACTTCCTGTGCCCCATCTGTAAGAAGGAAAGAATGGCACTTTCCTATTTACAGGGTTATTGAGTATAAGCACATTACAAATTGAGACATTCCAGCTCTAATGTTATTGGAACCAATATCCATGTACCTTTGGTTTCCATGGGTCCTGGACTGGGACTCATGTCTTTAACTAGCTATTCCTATTTCTGAGCCATTAGAGTGATATTATAACTGTTATAGTAAGCCATGTCTTCTTGATGGCCAAGCTCATTTATACCGCTTATGTGCACTTTATCAGCTATGACTTTTTTTTTCAGTTTTGGCATAAAACCTTTCAGTGACCAGATCACTATAAATCAGAGAGTTCATTTTATTGTTAAAGCCTTGGTCTAGTGCTTGACTTTTATTACTTATTTCTATGATTAAGCAGGCCTAACGATTGTGCTGCCCATATTGCATGTCTTTATTTCTTGCCATAAATTTTCTGACCTTGCCACCACTGGATGATTAAAAGAAAAATTAATTTTGGCTCTTAATTGTATTTTTGCTGCTCCCTCCTCGTATTCAGTTCAAGTGAGAGTTTTTAAATTTAACTATTATTTGTTTTGGTTTGCTACTTTGGAAATGCTGAAAATATGTGTATTTGAAGTAGAATTACTGATAACTTTTAGTTCTTTAAAATTGTAGGATAGCTGGTGAGAGTCACTTCTCTATGAAATCTAAATGAAATTTCCTCTATTTGTTGTTTCTTTTCATCCTTGTATGTAGACTGTGCTGTTAAACAGCACTTGTGCTAAAGATGCCTGAATCATAGGGAAATTTCAGTTGCTGATGATGGATTCTCTAGTCTTTCAAAACAAATTGGGATTGCCTTAATTTGCTGTTACTGTAAATTCAAATTTATTGTACTCTATAGAACTAGTCAGACAAGCGAACAATACTCTGAAAGGGATGTATTTTTCTTTTTCATTTTCATGTCTAAATGTTAAGAATCTAATGGACCTTCTTCTGTCCTAACACCTGTAGCAGTCACATTCCAATTGCATATAATCCTGCAAATGTAACAAGCAACTCCCACAGATCCACTTCAGAATAATAATAATAATAATAATAATAAAAAAACTATCTTGTGCTAGTTGTTTACTTGAATTTTCCACTGTATTCTAGCTCTTCTTGAAAATGTTCCACCTTCTAACTCTTAATGTAAGGCAAAAGCTTAAGCTGTTTACCCAAAACATTGGTTTCTAAATTGCAAAAATGCAAGTCAGAAGACTGCTCTTTTGGTTTTTTTTACCTTTTCTTTTCTGATTAATAAACAAGACAGCCATTTGAGCCTTAACTTAAAGATCTGGGAGTGCTATTTTCCTCTCCACCAACTCAAGTACATGACTTGGATATCACGTTCTCATTACTGAGAAACCTAAGCAGAAAAAGGAAAGCTTGCTTACATAATCTGGGCTAAACTCAGCCCTGGTTTAAGCTAATGCTGTTTCATTGACTTTACTGGAGTCATGCCTGCTTGCACCAGGGCAAAAATTGACCCTTTCAACTGGAATCCTATTTCACCAGCCTTAGAAAGCTAACACCTAGAGCTTTTTCTTCATTAGCTCATTAAATCTAGAGGGAAAGGTTCCACGGTCATCCTCTCACATCTCTTGCCATATGCCTTGCTGTCCACATGCAACCAACCACTGGATTTTTCTAGTGCCTCATCCCGTTGAAGTTTTGGAAAATCATAGTTCTCCTACTGTAGTGACAGATACTATGTAGGGCCAGTTCCTACAAAGCATTAAAATACATATAAACTGGATTTTTCCTTGAAATGAAGTGGAAGAAGAATGTTTAATGTTGACGTTAAAAGATTCAGAAAGCTATCATGAAAATGAAATGCAAAGTCAGGCTTAAAGAACACCTTTTTCAACATAAAATGTTTTGAAACTTGATTTTTAAACAAGCTGAACAGGAAGCTCTAAACTGCTTTTTTTTTTTTTTTTTACTCAATGTTAAAACAGCTGCATGTGTACACTTGCATGTTATCTAGTAAAGCTGAGACTGTTTTCATTTTTAACCAAGGTGTGGTAAATAATTATGTAATTACTTTAATAATGTGCTTGCTCATGTCATCTACTTACCAGTCACCATTTCAGTTGTCCATTTGTAAGTTCTAAAGTTTTGCTATCAATAACTGAAAAGAAAATTAAAAAGGGAAAATATTTAAAGGTAGATTATGCAGAAGTAATGACCTAGTTATTAATTTAGAATTAATTAGCCTGTTGCTTGGCCCCAGTGTTACATTTCTGGTCAGTGGCTGCATGGGTGTATATTCCATCTCTTTTGAACAAGTAGCATTGTCCATACTGTTTAGATACCCTATCTTATTAACCTGAGTTACCTCTGAACTCTTTGGAGGTGGAGCTTTACTTTTTCTAATATTTCAATAACCCTTATCAGAACTGACCTGTTACTGTACTGTATCAACTCTCAGCTTGACTCTGAAATAGCTATTGAGAGGGCCTTTCTAAATCCTGCCTTAGACACCTGTAGAAATTCAGGCTGGTGTTAAAAGATGATGTTTTCCTTCTGGTTCTTTTACTCTAATCAGTAGTTCTGAAGATGAAACAAGCTGAGTTTTTTATTTAGAAATATACTGGGGCTGGAGGAAAATGTAACACCTTTTTTTGCTCTTCCATGTTCATTATTCTGTATGTAATAAACTGAAGAAAGTTTGTAAGTAGTTTAATAAGACAAGTTCAAGCAACCAAATCTGAGCACCTTCTTTAGCGCTACCTATATTCTGAAGTAAACTGCCTTGGCCCTAGAGACAAACAGATTTTGCTATAACCATCAAGTCAGCCTCTCTGTGTGTTGTCCTGCATTTGTTGTCAGGGTGGTTAATTTACCGATTATGCAAACTGCGTATGAAAATTGCATATGTAATATTGCTTGGCACTCTCTCCTCTGATTCATTACATTTTATAGTAACCATACCAACGTGTCCACATGCCTGCTACACACCCTCTGACTGTCCCAAGCAGAGTATCTCGCACTTGTAATCATAGCTGTGACAACATCCCTTCAGGGCAAAGAGTGCATACTAGAAACATCTGTGGTGGGTGTGTGCTAGCCTGGCACTTTCATGATATGCCCAGGGTTTAGGGCAGTAGTGAAAACACCAAGGAAGGGTAATCTCGTAGTGTGACAGACTATAAAGAGAATAGCTGTAGTGTATGTTTTAGTATCCCATTTCTCTGGTATCTGCCGTATGTTCTTTACTGTATGTAGAACATGTTCCTGATTGTGGCCAGTGCTCTGTCTGCAGAACGTAAACACAGGATTTCATGGTCATATAATGTTGAGCTTGGTATATTGAAAATCACAGGCAGGGGTCCATTCCCTCTTGACTAATTCCTGCCAATCGTAAGCTTTCCCACAGATTTGTACGTAAGTGCATAGCCGGCCAAATATTTGGCAGTCTTTGTTTTTCCTTCTCAGTATTATTCTGCTAATGCATCAAGAAATAAGTGAGTGACTTTATTTGCATTTGAGCCCTAGTTATATCAATGATACTTGTATGTTATTGAAGCTTCTCTTGCAGAGAAGTGAAAACTAGATGATGCTAAACCTAAATAAGGTTACAGAAGGTAGGCAACTGACAATTAAGTATGTGCACAAAATAATAAGATTTGATTAATATTCTCAGCTCCATACAAGACACAAAATACCTACAGTCCTTGGCGAAAAGGCATATAGTTGGACCCAAAAAAACTATTATCAAGTGGATGTCAATGCAAAATAAGTTTTTAATTTTGAGATTTTTTAATTCTTTACATTTTGGAGTTGGCTGTTTCTGGCAATGCTGAGACTGAGGAACTGCTAAGCTGTACAGACAGCCCCGATGTCAAAATTGAATTGGAGCAGCCAGATTTGCTCTCTTACAGAGCTATTTTATAACTCATATTTACCACTTCCCTATTATCCTTTTAATTTCTTCAGTGCTGATAACTTGCACTAAGCTTCATATCCTGCCATCTGTGTGTTGCTTGTGCTGGTCTTGTACACAAGCAGCTCAGTTGTGTGATCTTCCATTACTAATCTGCCGAAAGAACCACAGAGCTTCATCCAGGCATGCTCAAGCTTGTGACTTGTGTTGTAACTTACTTTCTTTTGTGCCTGATTTGTATAAGGATTGCTAGCTGCTTATTTGTTTAACTAGGTTGGTGCTCAAACGTGCAAAGCCACTGCATGTGACATTTCCAGGGCCTTTACTGAATGTCAGTCTTTTATATACATTTGATATATATTAATATGCAGTGTCTTCCTATATTCTGGCCAAAAATGTGCCTGTAGCAGTCTTTTAAAGTTGTAAGTAATGTTGTGACAAGTGGAAAAACAAGTTTGACATTTTTCATTTATTATTTATAATGTACCCGCTCTGTGTGTGTTTTTCTTTTTCACATTAAAATTATTTACTGCAGCCTTTAATTTATCACTTATTTGAAATGACATACATTTTTAATGTTAATTTACATCTGTTTGATGTAATAGTAGGTAAGAAAATTCTAATCTTCTAATCCTTTTTTTTAATATACACTGTGGAACTTACTATAGGTCTGATTTTGCAGCCCTTGCTCAGTGGGAAGTCTGTTGAGAATTTTGCCTGAATAAGAATTGGAAGATAAAAACAAAGTGGAGAAAAATTCAGAGAAACAGCTAAAACGCTGATAAAAATAGCATTTAAATCTACTTTTTTAAAAAAGGTGTTACATTAACCAATATTTTTCATATTCCTTTTTAAAAAATGGTTTTGGGGTTGTCCTTTCTTGAATAATTTGAACATTTACTAAACTTTTTGTTATAAATATTTTATGTATTTTTGTTCTCTTGGAAATGGTTGTGTGGCAGTGTCTAGGTTGTAAACTGTTCATATGTTGTTGTATGGAAAGCATGTGGGGCATGAATGTTCATCTCCTTTATTTAAACCCACCTGTCTTGGTGATAATGAAATGACTCAGACTAATCCATAAAATGTACATTCACTCTTTGTCTTCAGCATTAATTTTCATCTGTACCTTTAAGTAAAATAGTCTGATTTTGATATATTAAATTCAGTTATGACTCATTTTTATAAGACGAAAATAGCAGAACAATATACAATCTTAGATGTTCATAGAATACTAACTTTGGAAAATCAAAAATTAAAAAATTAAGAAAAGATCTAATTTAGCTCTTGTGCTTATTTTGCATTGTGATAGTTGTCACGTGATCCCATTCATGTGGTCTTTCATGTGCTTATGGAATCCTTTCACTAGGACCTCCCCAATGTTACCTCTTCTCCATGAACTAAAGAAGTATCAAATTTACTTTAATCCAAGACTATGCTTTTTACCCTGTTCAACACAGGGGAGGGGAAAAGGACCCTTGTCTTGGATTTAAGTAGAAGTGTGTGGGGGGGGGATGCAGCTGTTGTGGGTCCAACTGGCCCTGACGGACGCTGAAGCTCAGAGTCAGCACCATACTTGCTGCCTCCCCCTTTCAGTCCCCCCCCCACCTCCCTGCCACCTCTATATCCCATCCTTCCTCTTTCTCCAACCCCCCCCTTACTGTCATTTGGGGTTCTGATTCCACTCCAGCCCAGAGTACAGAGCAGAAGCTAGCTTCAGTCCCACCTGGCCATGCTCCCTGGGTTGGAGCCAGAGCTGGGGCAGGAGCTGCGGCCACCACAACCACTGCTGCGTGACCAGGGAGGAGCCAGAGCCAGCATGTACTCCATGTCCCAAGCCAGCGCAGAACCAGAACTGAAGCCCCTCCAACTAAGGATAAGTGGTAAGCACAGCAGGGGTGCAGGGGCAAGTAGTGGAGAGAAACACAGGACCACTTTACCTGGAAGGGTGTCTGTAGTTTTTTTCCCCATCTTTCCTTGATACATCTGAGGTTATATTGTGATATAGAAAGGCAAGACAAAGTTGTCCCAAGATGTTTAACATTCAGGACTTGTTTTCACTGAAAAGGCAATTTATAACTTGTATGCTGCCTCAAACTCGAGTCCTGTTCATGCACGCACAGTGTTACTGTGAATGTGGTGGTGCTTTCAGCTCACGTTGACTGGTACAAGCTAATGCTCAAGCGAGCACAACTTGTCTGATGTTAACATGACCACACTGTGTTTTAGATGTAGACTATCTTCCACAATTTACTGGGAAAGAATTAATAAAGCAGCTAATGTTCCTGCAGAACCGTAAAGCATATCCTTTCTAGAAGTCTTAGAACCACACTAGTTAATGAAGTGCCACTGGGAGGAAAAACAGCTCTAGCATATTTTGCAGTGTGGGTACCTCTTACTGGATCAAAGCTAAATTGAAGGCGCAGACAGAAATGCAGCTCCCTGGTCTAACTCATAATCCTTTGGAGAAAGAGTCAGGAGTTAAACTGATCCCTCTGAACCAACAGATGTTAGCTGTTGGGTTGGAAGGGTGGAGGACTGGCTCCAATTTGGAGCCAATCTAGGGGGAGAGACTGCATCTCTGCAGAGTTTCTCCCCTAGCTCTACTTGCAGCTCTGGTGCTGTGTCTGGATGAGAAGGTGGGGAGAAGGCAGGGAAGGGAACTCATTCTGGGTTCCCCAGCTGTGTTGGAGTGTGGGTTGGGTGGATCAGAGACCCCCCCCAACTCAAGGAGGTTGGGGGCCCCTCCAATCTACCCATCCCACCTGCCAACCCTGCTGCCTGGGCAACCCCCAGAACAAGTTCCCTCTCTGTTCCCTTGCCTCCCGCCCCCCATCCCATTCTGAAAATGGTGCGTGGAGCAGGGCAGCTCAGCCTTGCTCCTGGTGCATGCAGGCACAAGTTTCTGAGGGCAGTAACACAAGATGCTGAGGGCACTCGACTTTGGAGTGCCTTCTTCCGAACCTCATGTAGTGAAGGTTCTGATTTTTGCAGGATCAGGTCCTTTTAAAGCACTCTGCAGCTGTGCACTTGTGTTTGCTGACAGCTGTAGAGTGCTTTCAGGGGTCAGATCAGGCAAAAATTGTCACTTTTGTCTGTGCCTTGAGAGAAGTAACTTGAGTGCAGGCTACTTCAGGTTACTGTGTAGTTCAGACCTACCTTTTGTCTGGTCTCTTTCAGTATCCTAAAGGTTTGCAAGTTCCACAAGATTCTTCAGAAGAGCAACACAGATGTTGGTTACACTGATTCAAAGAAATTATGTGATTAGAAAAACACAAACTGGACTTTTTGTTTTTGGTTTGCTTAGGTTTTTGTCTTTTTTTTTTTTTAAATAAGAGTTTGGTCAATTAGGTATAGAAAAGTTCATGCAAGAGTGAATAGATTACTTTAGTTTTGTACTAGAATTCATTTTTTATTTGAGAAAAAAACCTGATGTAGAAAGACCAGCTTTTTACTCACTTACATCAGAGGACGGTCTGTCTCAGCTTCTGCATCAAATTCAATGAGACTTCATTTCAAGTGGTCCAAAAGGGTTGACATCCTAGGAAACAGTTTTACATAATGAAGAAACACATAGCTGATTTAAAATATTTAAAAACTGGGATGGTTATGAAACTGAGATAAGAAAAAATTTAGATTTGTAAAAAAAGAAAACGGTTAAAAAATCAATTTGACAATACCTGTTTTAAAACACAACAGTTCATATAACTTGAGTGCGTATATAGAGAAGTAGTTTTTCTTTTAGAACAGTTCACTAAAAAGATTTCCACTGCTAAGGAATGCCATCAGAAATGTAAGCCTATCTGTTCATTTAAACCAATAGTTGCAGCAAGCTTTTTTTTTTTTATACTCCTACTTTTACTAGGTTTCTAACTTTAAAAAAATTATGCTGTGATAGCATAGTTTTTTTGCAATTGTTGGCATTGAATGCTTTAAGCAGTAAGTGTCTGTCTGTCTGTCTGTCTGTCTGTCTGTCTCCATTTCATTTACTTTATTCCCATTAGCAGTTACGCTGAATTTATGAAAAGGCTGACTTCTGAAAGTGTGGTGTGGACATAACTCCTTGTATTAGTCTGTACATGCAAGTGCCAGTCCAGCAAACCATGTAAGCATGTACTTAACATTACTGGTGTAAATGCTCCCGTTGGTATCAGCGAGACAAGTTGCATATTTAACTTTTAATCATTTGCTTAATAAAGCTGTATAGTAAGGACTGAATGTGATATATATTTTTAAATATCCAAGGTTTTGTGGGGGGGGGCTTGTTGGGGGAGGGGAGTTGGTTTTTGTTTGTTGGTCAAATACTGTTGTTATAAATGTAAACTATGGCCTTCATTCTACAAAACAGTCTGCTAACATGGACCCCATCACCTCAGTAGAACTCCCCTTGGACACATGAGATTGTATGGGTTAATCCAGTTTCAGAATTCGGGGTTTTGGCTTCTGATTTATTTTCCAGTTCCTTTCCTGGCATCACTACTTTGTAGAAAGAAAAATTACTTTTTTAAGATTTACTGGACACCAAAAACTCTTTTAAATCCAACTCTTTCAAGCACTTTTAGAATTTCAGTGGTATTTGTCTCAACTGCCTTCCCTGCTTGCCTTTTCTCTTTATAAATAGAAACTTTTCTGTCTGCTTCTTAACTGAAAAATAGAAGCTATTTCCTATGCTATTCCTGGAAAATATTTTACTGTGTGCCAGTATTTGAATGTAAAGAAAGTTGCCAGTTTCAAAGTGTATAGTTTTCAAATGCAAATATCACAAATTTTAAAATACTGAAACTGAAAGCAGTTTTAAAAATCTGAAAAGCCCCGGTCCTCTTAAAATGTATGTCTTTAAGTTTGCAGTGGGCGTGTCTACACATTCATTAATATGTTTTAGATACCGCGCATTTAGTTTAGTACTTGCTTAATAAAGTATTAAATAAATGCGCAGTAACTAGAGTTACTGCACAGTAGCACTGGTGCATGGTTATTTTGTGATGCTTACTGCACATTAGCCTAACAACACTGTGCAGTAGGCTATTAGCATGGTTTTTAACTGCCAGGCTCCTGCACAGTGGTATTAGGTTAATGTGCAGTACGTGTCCCACGTAGACGCGCCCAGTGTGAGGTAGATCCATTAACTTCAGTGGAACTTACTTACAAGATGCAATATTAAGCATGCGCGTGACTTCTGTATTTCTTGTAGCTTGCCCACCAACACCAGGCTGTTCAGCTTCTAGTCAATATCATTGTAAGTTTTCAACGCCTATAAAAAAGCAGTAATATATAGCTCACGGCCATTTGGGTTTTTGCCATTATAAAATCTGTTTTCATTGGAAAGTTTTCTGGCTGATTTTCAGGTTATGGTAATATTTCTGATGCCTTAGTCTTTATAGAAGCTTCTTTTTACAAAACCTGTATTTTTAATGATAATACCCCTTTTAAAATACTTCACTATGAAATCGTTAGTCATTTTGTTCCAGTTTAACGTCTTTGCTCTGGTTGGGGGTCTGAATATCCGAAAAGTAGGATTATCCATCTGATACTGATACTTTTTTAAATGTTGATCTAGTATCCATACCAGAATTCAAATGTTTTTACGATTGTATCAATAACCTATATCCCTTTGTGTCTTATTGATTTCACACTTTTTTTTTTTTACCTTCTGTAGTCACCTTTGTAAAATGGCACTGAATGGTCATATATCTATGCTGTTTCTGAAAATGAGGCATAGAGACAGTACCCTTTACTTATTGCTTTAAGTGCATTTGTGCAATGAGAAGGACAGACTGTGTTTATATGCACCTTAGATGTTAATTCCACAAATACGATTTACAGTTTAAGCCATGTCTGGGTTGGTTGTATTGGAAGTCAGATACAGCCTTTGGAAACAGTTTATCATGCTGCTTTATCTTCCCTTCCCATTTTACCGATATATATTGAACTTCCCAGAAGTTAAACTCAACCTCTTTAGCATTCTTTAAAGAATGCTGTACATTGAACTTTCCCCATATCATAAATCTTTCCTATAAAAGGGAGACAAACTTAACACTTTGTAGGCTTTAAAAATGCCTTATTTGTAATAAGTACATAGTTGCACTGTGCTTAGTTCCTTTAATGCTACCTACTGCATCTACATGTTGAGAACTAAAGCCGTCAAGGAACTTTACTTTTCAGCATCCTTTGATCATAACATTCCTCTGGTTGAATAAAGGGTAACTTTGTACAAGGGAGACATTTTTGGTATAAATAGGACCTAAAATAGTCTGGAACTATGTTGTTTCCAACTGTAGCAATTGACTATTAAGACTCTCCTTCACATTCCTAATGAATTTGTGTAAATGCTTCATATCCAAGTTATTAGATTATTATACCTGTTCTAAATGCAAAATGTGAGACAACAGAAGGTAATTCTGAGTGAGGTAATTAAAGTACCTCCCTATGTATGGGGAAATGTTACTGAAGTGACTTGATTTGTTAAAAAATTATCCATCCATAATAGAAACAATAGTTAGGTGATCTTTATTTAGTACATGACATATTTAATTGTATTATTATTAATAATTCTAGTATAGACATTTTACTTATTCAGAGCACGGTCAAGTGTATGCTAAGGTTTGCTATACACACATACTTGTTTCAGGTTGAAATTTTGAAGATTAATCTTTCTATTTTTGTCTTTAAACTGAACTGTGCAAATTAAAATGTCAAACAGTTTTACATCAATGTGTGTGTTCACACTAAGAGAGTACACTGATTTAGCTGGTACAGTAGTTGTGTGTAAACCAACCATAACAATGAGTATGTTGATCACAAGTTCTTAAGGGGAGATTTGATCTTTTTCCTCTGCCTTGCTTTTAAAATGTAGGTAAATGTACACTTACTCTGGAGACTTTATAAAAATGACATTACTTACTATCCCATGCACCTCTATTTCCGGGAGGAATATGGGGAGGGTGGTCAGACCAGGAAGGGCTGCAGCTGGAGCCAGCTCTGTCTGCTTCAGGATTATCAGAGCGCTAATATAGCAGGCATGGACACATGCTGCATCTGGGGCAGTTCTGTCTACCTGCTCCTCCTGTGGCAGCAGCACCTGTGTTGCAGCACCCCAGAGCAGATATTGAGGTACCCCAGCTGCAAATCACTGGCAGAGAGACGTTACTTAGCCTCCAAATATTTTCCAGTCATTGAGTTTTATACCTGGAATGCATTACCAGATTATTAAAATGCTTTTCATTCAAAGAAACAAAGCATAATAGACAAAAGTAGCATGATCATTAGTGACATTTTCTTTGTGTAACATGATTCTTTGTATTGATTTCTTTGCGTAATGTGATTCTGTAGGAAGAATCATATTTATGGTCTATCTTATGCAAATTGGAGTTAATATTTATGTTAATGTTACATAAGCTATATTACCCAGTGATTAATGAATATATAGGTTGTGTTTGTTAATAAGTGACAATGGGGTAAGATTTGGTGACTGCATGTCATGGATATGCTGTAGGTCGTAAAGCAGATCCTGAACAGCTTGAATTCATGGCAGAATGTTTCTCTGTTTGCACATCTTGCAAGACAAATATGTGTTTATGCATTCACGTAGACTCTGTGATTCTTGAGCCTTTGATGATTTGACCAAAATCTGAAGGTTGCTGTAAATCCAGAATGACTACTTTGTCTTTACTTGAGTCACACCAGACTTGCAGCAGTGTCAGTGAGATTAGTATACATGAGAATGACCTTGAAACTTATTTCTTTCCTTAAATGTGAGAACTATTTCATGCATGCTAAACTCACCTTGCTTTGGAACAATTTTACCCAAAAACAGAAGGCCAGAATATGGCCCTTACGTTATTTTAATCTGATGATGAAGTGATCATGGATTAAATTTTTTTTAGAGGTATTTAAAGGCCCTATTTAACAATAGGAGGCAAAATTCTGTAGTCAGGAGGAGCATTCCAGATTTACACTCAGGCACAAAATTTGTCCTATAACTTAAATGTCTTGGATCACAATGTACTTACTGTGGGCTCCTTCTCAAAATGTTGACTCAAAACACCAGAGAGGAAATGAGATGGGTGAGCCAGTACATACAGTGCCTTACAATTATGGGGAGCAATAAGGAGTTTCTAGCATAAAACAGACTTTATTTCTGATATGCAGAATACAGGGATTCTCTGTAGTTGGGAGGGTAAAAAATCTTATACAAGAACTAGATACTGATATCTAATAATCATTAAAAAAAAATACTGGGGCATGTCTGTAACGATTACAAACATGAAGAAAACAAATTTGTAAACTAAACAAGTCCAAACTTTTAAAATAACATGCAGTTTTTAAAGTACTTTTCACTTTTGGGACATGGTTTGGCAGTAAACATGGTTGTAATACGAGTGAAAAAACGTGTTTCTAACCAAGCAGTCAGACCCTGAAGCCTTGAGGGCTGCAGTCAGTGTGAGCACTGTTTGAGACAAGAATAACAACCCTGAACGTCAGGTTTTCCACTTTTGACGCACCATGTGAATGGGTTGTTTGACGGAGCGTTTACATTGTGGTGGCAGGGTAAACCAGAGGAAGGGAGTGTAAAAGGATGATGAGAGTTGAGTCAATACATGTTGGATAGCTGTCAGTGCTGGGAGCTCCAAGATCTACTGCAATAATCTTTACAATGCTGCCAACCATTAGCTAAGTACACTGCACTGGCATAAAACATACTTTATGAAGGAGTGGAAGGTCTTTATAAAATAAAATATTTTTTCTGGGTGAGGGTCTAAATATTATTCCATATTTACTCTGTCAGTTTTTCTCTTTCATCATTTACCGTATAACCATACAACTCTTCATGTGTATGGTTTCAAACATTTGGTAAAAGTATCCTTAAATTTTGAATTTTTTGGATTTCTGTAAGTACTAATATTTTCTCCCTTTGAATTACTGATAAATGTCTACAGGCCTTCTCAGTTCTACAGATTCCTTTTGTTTGGAAATATCAGGCTAACCTTTAAAAAGTTCTACAGTCGAGTTATTAATCCAGACACTACAAAGAGTGCATCCACTAGTGCACCCTCAACATAGCAGGCTACGTACTCATGCCATCGACTGTACAAATGTTTTATGTAACTAAACTGTATTTACTTTTCTGTTGCATATGAAATAATCAGTTACTATAGTAACTCTCACCTTGCGTTGTATTTCCCCTTGCATGCTGTATTAACCAGAAACACAGAATACTAAAGAAACAATAGCAGCATTATGTAATGTAGAAGGAAATGCTTGGAAAAACACATGCTTAGAAATCCCCTTTAATCATAACCCAGTCCTCAATCATCCCTCTTTCAAGATCTGGGCACACAGGTAAATCTCTTGCATTGCCTTCTTTCTTCCTGCTTGCATGGAAATTCAGCTGTCAACATGGCAATCTTATACTCCCACCTCTTCCAAATGTCATGGACCACTTCCCTTGGTGTCAAGGGATTTAAGTAGAAAGACAGCGTAACTTAAGTAAAGTAAATACCATATTTACTCAAATATACGATGAGGTCCCCATCTGTCCCCCTCCATCAGCACTGGAAGGGAAAAAGCCCTCCATCTCATACAAAGTGGAGGGGGGAGCAGGCGACTGCTTTGGCTCTGACTCTGGCCCTGAGCCCAGGTCAGGGCCAGTGAAATCCACAGCAGCCTCCTGCCCCTGCCTCTGCTTTTCTGCAGCTTCTGCCTCTCACCTATTCCCCCCCTTACTCAAGCAAAGCTCAGCTCTAGGTCAGGTTGGGGTCTTTCCCAGCATGAAGCCCAAGAAAAGTCCTTCTCCTGCCTGGCCAATCAGTAATGCCAACACTGCTGTATTGCTTGCTTGGCCAGTCAATGGCCGATCTTCCATGTGCTGTGGTCTGGGACTGAGCAGCCTGGGCAGTCTGGTGGGGGGAGGAGGAAAGAGGCAGAAACTGGGGAGTTGGGCGGGCAGAGGGGAGAGGCAGAGATTGGGGAGCAATGGGAGAAGAGGCAGAGTTTCTGGGGGAAGAGTTAGAGACTGGGAGAATGAGGGGAGGGGCAGAGGCTGAGGGGAGCGAGGATTGAGGGAGTGCAGGTGACAGGGCAGGACTGCTGCAAGGCAAAGAAGTGGGTGGGGCAGAGGGCAATGGGGAGCAGTGGCTGGGGGGGGCAGGGGTCAGCCACTGCTTTCCCTGTTGTAGCAGGGGCGGGGGGGTAGTCAAGATAACCCTTCAATACTTAGATTCTATACCAGGAAAATTATAACACATATTTATAAATGTTCCATATACAGAGTCTAATTAATGGGATGTTGTCTTGTATTCAGGGTCACTTTATAGTTGAGTAAATATGGTAGTCAAAAGAAAGAAGAGGGGGACTAAGGGTAATAGTCATATGTTCACACAATTAGGCTAGCTACCTACCTAGTTTGATGGCTCTGAATCACTCACATCTATTGAAAAGAAAAGGGTTTTATTATTGGGCGAGGGGTTGTGCTGTAGGGAGAAGGGTGATTTATTTTTTTCCCCCCTTCAAAAGCTTTGTGTGTTGCTCTGCTATAATTAGAGAAGTACGAAGAGAGTTGTGGAGCAACATATATAATGGGTGGTAAGACTAAGTATTTTCAAAGGAGAGAAGCATAGTGCAGTATAAAGAAAAACAAATCAACAAGGTGGAGAATGGGTGTGATCCTGCACCAGTGAAATCAAAAGGAGTTTTTCCATTAAGTTGAGAGGTACAAGATCAGAATCTTTGTGGGTGGTGTATACTTTAATGAGCTATAGGATTACCTAACAAGCCTTAAAAGCTGTTTATGTTTTGAATTGTCCCAATGTTCAACTATGGAATAAATAAGACTCGTGATCAAGCATAGTCCCTAGTTCTTGTGCGCTATTCCTTTATCTAGCGAGAAGAGGTTACTACCAAGGCAATGTGCTCAGCCCTTGGGAGAGGAGAACACTAAACTTCATCTGTTTTGGCCTAGCAATGCAAGTGGCATGGGCAGGTTCTATATTGTTCTTGAATAGTAATAATAAATCATTGATTATTTTTTCTGCCATACATGTACATTACCTGATAAATCTGTGGCCACATGTAATTTATTCAGTTCAGAATAAGACTGCTGTTTTGAACAATTTCAGGAAGAAACCCGTTTTAAATCTTATTCCACGTTGTCTCTGTTACTTATACAAGTATTGCCGCCTTCCTCCTCCTCAACCTCTTCCTCTACATTGACAAAATATCAAACATCTGTAAATAAATAAGAAAAACACTGGGTTTCTTTATCAACAGGGCAAGTTCTTGTAGAGATCTCAAGCGCGCACAAGAAACTGAATGACAGTCTAGATGAAAGTGTAAGTAAATATTTCATTAACTTTTTTGAAATTGTACAAGAATATTTCATAACTTTGTGAATAACCATAATATAATTTGCTTGTTTTTAAAGTTCAAAAAATTTCATAAAGAAATTATTACTGAACTAGAGAAGAAAACAGAGCTGGATGTAAAATATATGAATGTAAGTACGTTGAACCTTAATACCACAACAGATCAATTTCATTTCTTTACATTTTTCTCTTGCTTTAACATCTGTTTCTGCAGCACATGACTGTATATAATATTCACTCTTAAAGTGTGTTAAAAGACATGCCCCTTATCTTGGAAATTATTTAGTATCATTTAGTCTCAAAATATATTAAATATGATCTAAATACTAAAGTTGAAAAATATGTAACATTATTTTGTATAAATGGAAAACTTGTTTTAGCTGGAGAATTCTGTTTTGAATTAGAGCTGCTAATATGAAGAAAAGCCATTGACAAATATGTTGATTCAATATTAATCAAGATTTATCATTCAAGGCATTTCTTAGCTGCTTGCATAGTTCTTTGATAGTTGCATTACAGCATGAATGGTAAGATGTTTAAATTCTTTGTTTGCAGGCAACTTTAAAGAGATACCAGACAGAACACAAAAGCAGGTTAGATTCACTGGAGAAGTCGCAGGCTGAGCTGAAAAAAATCAAAAGGAAAAGTCAAGGTGGAAGGAATGCAATGAAATATGAATATAAAGAAATTGAGGTTTGTGTACTGTATCCCCATGGATTGCTTGCTGCTCTTATGGAAGTCTCTTAACAAGATCAGTCATTGTTATAAAATATTATAATCAAAGTTATCTCCTGAATCTAGTTTCTCCTGACTTCTTTGCTTTTCTTTCTTTCTAAGAAAAGAAAAAAAACCTGCCCACTATTTTCTGTGCTTGCAGTGTAATTACTTGTCTAGATGCATTCTTCTATTTAGCTGTTTGGCAATAGTAAGACAATAGGACTTCAAACAGGTTACATTGCTTTATTGATTCCCCAAGGCTGTTTTGTTTTAAAGACACTGTTAGCAAATGAACTCACACAATGAAAATTACAGTTTAGGGCCTAGTTCTACAGAACTTTTATTTTTCTGAAATGAAGAAATGTTTATAAATAATTTTTTTCTAGAGTCTATTTCAAATTCTGACTGCGGGATTCCTGACTGTGGCTGAATTGCTCGGTCAAAAGCTAAGTGTTAACCTCTGCACAGCCGCTGGTGAACGGGCAGCAGTTGTTGGCTGCTCAGCCAAAAGCTACTGCCAATTCCACAGTAGCTGTGAAAGGGTTAATACACTAGTTCCAACTCTGAGGGGTGAACTCTGGCCCCTCTGTCCATGAGTGGCAGGGGGAGTAGTATGGAAGTAATTTTACAGCGTCTCTGTGCTTCTATTCTTTCAGTACAGCAAAGAATATCAGCATTCCCACTTAAGACATGCACCCCTACTCTGGAGAGCTGAATTTTTTGGGGGGGTAGGGAGAAGGTAGTTTGGGACATGAATAAATATGGTGTATAGGTAGTCTCACTGATTGCACTGCATTTGTAGGATTGAACCTTTAAAAATTGGGGGGGAAAGCTGCATCTTCAATCAGATGTGGCTGTAAATAGTATGTTTTGGTCATCTAATCATAAGATTTTTTTTTTATGATAATCAAGCAGGACAGCTAAATAATATCACCAGTGCCTACAATTAATAGAGGCAAACTCGGTATTCTAATACTGAATTCACCTCTGTTCCTCAGCAAGGCTCAGACAAAGTGAAGAGGTGGGGTGCAAGGGGGCAAACAGTTTATAATTCCATTCAACCTTCTATTATACTGGGAAAAGAATGGGGACAGCTTTATGGGTTAATCTACGTTGGGAAGTTGCTACTCTAAACGAGGGCACGCATTTACAGTGTATTGGCTACTTCTCACTAATTCTGTGTGGCTTCTCTTAGTGGGTGCATCTACACGAGACACTTTACTGCACAGTAAATTAGGCTACTGTGTGGTTAGCTAGTACCTGTAAATATAGGTACTAGATTTACTGCACAGTAACACTCATGTAGATGCTGACTGGGAGCAAATTTGCTCCTACTCAGCCTAGGCAGCAGGGGGCCAAGGGAACAGGGAGTTCTCTGTCCTGTCGCTGCTCAGCTCCCAGCTGCCCTCAGGAGCCAGGAGCTAATCAGCACTGGGACTAGGGACCTTTCTACCCCCTGTCCTGGCTCCCAGTGCAGAGCTGGCTGCTCTGGAAGGTGAGTGGGGGCTGGGTTCCAGAGCAGCCAGCTCCATACAAAGCAGGGCAGCTGCCAGAGACCCACCCGCCCCCCGCCCAGCAGGAGGCTTGCCAGCAACTGTTCCACACCTGAGACAGCTCCCAGCAAACCTCCTGCTGGGCAGGAAAGCCCTACCCAGAATGGGGCTCACTGGCAGCTATGTGTCCTGATTGGGCATGCGGCCAACAGAGCTCTGCTCACTGCAGGGGCAGCTGTCTTTTCACCTGATGCACATCGGGTCCCCTCCCAATGTGCATGGGGCCAGGAGACAGCTGCTACTGCAGCCAGTAGAGCTCTCCTGGCCCCATGCCCCTTGCTAACACCTGGGGGAGCCTGGAGCTCCCCCTGGCTGCTGCAGGGGGGCAGGGCAGGGCAGGAGCAAATCTGCTCCCAGTGGAGAGCATGTATAGACATGCATCTGAGGAAGGCTTACTGCACAGTATTTTACTGCACAGTAAGCCTAATGCTAATTAATAGCACATGTAGACACGCCCAGTGTGCACTTAAGTACCCTTGCATGTGAGCAAACTTACTCCTTTGTCAAAATTTAGTAAAAGAGTTGTTAGCTTTTCTATTTGGTTGTTAAACAGTAGTTGTCTTGTGCTAACGATGGGTGAAGTTATACCTCTATATAGTTTGTGTATAGCCTTCTGCTAGCCTTCTGTAATGGATTCTTTGATCATTTTCTCCAGGATTTTACCAGGGACTGAGGTCAAACTGACTGGTCTGTAATTTCCCGGGTCCTCCTTTCTCCCTGTCTTAAAGATAGGCACCACATTGGCATTCTTCTAATCTTCTGAGACTTTTCCCAAACACCATGAGTCTTCAAATAACTTTGCCATAGATAGCGCGATGACATCGGCCAGTTCTTTTAGCACCCTTGGGTGTAGTTCACCTGGTCCTGCTGACTTGTAGATATTTAGCCTTTGTAGATGCTTCCCCACAAGTTCTACACCAACTATGGTGGGGTGGTCATGCCCACCATTATCCTGTATACTGTCAAGCAGGCTAACACCCTTGGACTGGTGGAGCTAAGAGCCTTGGACTGGTGGGATGATCCTGGCTCGGGCAGGGGGCTGGACTAGATTACCTCTGGAGTTCCCTTTCAGCCAGAGTTCTCTGATTCTGTGATATTGTATTCCTTGTGATTTGTTCTTGTTTTCCATTTCATGTGTTATCTTTTATCGTATATTTTCAGTTCCCTTTTTTCTCTTAAAATAATTTAAGTTTTAATCAAGTCTAAACATAATGTTCAGCTGCTAATCATCTGTCTGTTAACCTAAGATGAGTACAGGAAAGACTGTCTTGTGCTTAACCTACTCCACTAAGGATTCAGATTGAAGTTTCTCAACCTTACGCAAATTTCTTTGACCTTGGTTAAATCTTACTGACTCAGTTCTCCATCTTTAAAAATAAGGCATAAATATTTTCATGCTTCAAAATGATTTTAAGGGTAAATGTGATTACTGAAACCAGTCGATCAGCTAATGTCTGAGTTGCTTGGCATCAGGAGACTAAGCACTCATCTAAAATGTAAAGCAAAAACTTATTGTGCCATTTTAGGAATGATGTTTACACTGCTGATTTTTTGTCTCACAAATTCAGTCAAGTCAGAAGTCAAACTTGTAGCCTGCACACAGTTCATATTATAATTATGTATTTATTTAGTATTTGGAAACAGTCACTTCTCGACAGAGTGATATTCAAAGATTTATTGCTGAAGGTTGCAGAGAAGCTCTCCTTGAAGAAAAAAGAAGATTCTGCTTTTTGGTTGACAAGCACTGCAGTTTTACTCAGCACATGAACTATTATCATATACAGGTCAGTGTTGCTCTAAAGTGCAGAGGTAGAAATGGGGGGTCTCATCAGAACAGAGACATTTTCAATAGGTTATTTTATATTTGTTTAAGCAAAGAAGTAATTACTTACTTTTGAAACCAAGGACTGAAAGACTTGTGCCAATCCACTTGTATTTCCAATATCACAAATAACTTGCACTAAACGTTATCTCTATCACATGGCTTAGTGTTAAATTGATATATTTAGTTTATATACTAGCTAAATATTAAAGCTTCAATGTTAAAAGACTTCATAGAGGTTGCACTGGTGTGGTATAACTGAAGTTAGAATGTAGTCCATTGTAATTCAAATGTTGTTTTAACCCAAAAATTTGCATGTTTTATAACTTCATTTTTTTTGGTTGCAGTGTACAGATTTACTTAACTCCAAGTTGCCTGTGTGGCAGGAAACCTGTAGTGATGCCACAAAAGTGCCAGAGAAAGTTATCAGTATGATAGAAGAGATAAAGACACCTGGTTCCACTCCAATATCAGGAACTCCCCAACCTTCACCAATGATAGAAAGAAATACTGTGGTATGCATTTCCTCATTAATCGCAAGTAAAGACTGACTTCCCTGAGTTTGTATGTGTATAAACTTTATGACTTAAGTCTTGAGACTCTGGAATTGCATATGGTGAAAAAAACTCAGTAACAAGCTGGACCCTCAGTTCTGTAACTATTCATTAGACAGATGCATAGACCCATACAAAGCCTTATTGACATTAGCAGGGATCCTGGTTTCCTCTGTTTAAAAATCACAAATTCTCTGATAAAAACACAAGTTCTCTGATTTTAAAAAGCCCAAAATTTGAACTTAAAATGAGACGTGTGTATCAACTGAATACAATGTTTTATTGATAAATTTACAATTTTAAAGCAATTTGGAAGCCTACCAGTGCCTCAGTCATGATAGTAAAATAAATTCTAAGTACCTATAAATTTTTGTTATTTGATGATTTTGGGTTTTTTATCATGGAAAATCAGAGCTCCCTCTGCCCCCTTAGCTCATTAGGATGCAGGTCCAGGCCCCGAACTTCCAAGCCACAGCCCCCCACCACTGCTGGTGCGCCTTACTCCCCTGCCACGTCTCCCCACCCCGTATCCCTGCTGGAGGTGGCCCCCTGCTGCCAGGCTACAGCCCCCTTCCCCCCAGCTGCAGTGCCCAAGCCCCAGCTGCCGTCTGTGGGAGGCAGCAGCTACTGCAGCACAGCAGAGCATGGAGCCTGGCTCCCCACTCCCCCATGGGCAGCACAGCAGAGGCAGCTGTGGGTTCAGGCTCCCCACCTTGCTGCCCCCGCTCTGGGGCCTCCGCGGCCCAGCCGGCAGGATCCAGCACAGCAAGGCAGAGCAGGGCCAGGTGGGAAAGCTACATGCTGTTGCAAGCCCCGTGCCCCCCTGGCGAGGTGCCCCCCAGATCTGTGTGCGAGGCGGGGGCAGGCTACCTGCTGTGGGTTTGGGGCTCCACACCCTACTGTCCTCTCGCTGGGGCCTCCATGGAGCAGTGGGCAGGACCTGATATGGTAGGGCAGAGTGGGGCCAGGCAGGGAAGCTACTTTATGCTGTGAGCCCTGTGCTGCCCTGGTATGGCACCCCCTGCCTGCCTGGCAGCAGCAGAGGTGGTGGTGCAGATCTGTGTCCTTTGCTGCTGCCAGGCAGCTCATCTGGGGGACAGCAGGAAGGGAGAGGGCCGGCCCCTGTGCGCACTCCCAGAGGGGCCAACTTAGTGCTGCAAATAATCCAAGATGTCCATGTCATTTCATTACTATGTTAATACTATGTGAACATTTTTGCATCTGTAGATTGGAAAAAATTATTATCCTCTTCATGAAAATGCAGCAAAAGTGCCTCCTGCTCCCACAAGTAGAGCATATATCAGTCCTTTAGTTGATATGTTTAACAATCCAGCAGCCGTTCAAAAGGCACCTTCAGAAAGACTAAATAATTCAACAGGTGAGTTTTTTTTCCTTATTTTCATGCTGAAAGTGGGTTTCATTTTTATCTCAGTATGGATATACAAGCAGTACAAATGGTATGTGTTGTTGTCTGTCAAACGTTAGTGCATCTCTCCTGACTACTAAGATAGTCACCAGTCCAATGTTTTGACTATATGGTGTTCTAACAGGCATTGAGAAATGTCTACTGGAGGGATGTTTGGGTTTTTTTCCCTAGATGTTAATGTCTTGCAAAGCCTCATACAGACATTCAGTTTCTCCTGGGAGAGCAGATGTTTGTACAGGTGTTCACTGGACTGTGCTGCTCCAACTGAGAGTAAAAAAAATGGCCCCTTCATAATCCACACATTGTGTTGCACAGAAACACAGACCAACCATGGACAGTCTGGGTCAGCCAATTAGGGTTGCCCTGTGCCCTGCAGGCATCTATTGCCAGGCAGACTAAAGGAGCCTTCAGAACATGCTGAGCTGCGTGCACAAGCCTCCCTCTTCCTCCTCCCCTGGCTTCAGTGTCAGCATTGCAAGCTCTTCATTCTTCAGGGCATCAGCATTTGAAGTCTGTACATGTGACTCTGAATAAGCTTTTGTACTAGGAGAACAAACCAAAAAGAATTCTCCCACATTATCTGAATGCATGCATGCAGCCTTACTGAAATAGAGAACTATCTAATAGGAAAATGTAAAATCCCGACTATGAAGGTTTTGTACTAAACACACAAGTCTCTTAATTCTTTTAATTTCTGTTCATACATTTTTGATTAATATGGCCCAGCAAGTTTAACCAGGTTGGGGACTGAACATGTATCCAATCCTCCATGTCAATTGTTCACTTGCACCTTCTTACCCTGCACTAAGGAAAAGCTGAATCATGGTAACTTAGCCCTGTTTCTTTAAGGACTAAGGTGCTTCAGTTTATCTTTCACTTACTAAAGAATAAGAAGGAGAGCTACTATGTTAGCTTCTCTGAAATAAGTCCATCTCTTTTTATTTCACTGTAACTTGTTCTTTTGTTCATACCTTGAATGATCACTTTAGAACATGTGTGCAGAAAATTGAATGAGTATTACATTCTTTTTTAAAAAATTACAAAAGGACACGAGTTGAAATGGACATGAATTTCCCTTCCCTTTGACCAAATGGTAAATCCCATTAAAAATAGGATTTGTTGTTGCAGTGTTAGAACACGGGTGGCCAATTATTTGGGCTGGAAGACCACTTAAGTTGTTGGTGAGCTGTTGAGGGCTGCATGTACACATGCATGCGAGTACTCCCTGGCCCTGGCCCTGGCCCTGGCCCTGGCCCCAGCCTGCCCCCTTCACCTGCAACTCCCACTGATATCTACTAATTGAGTGCTTGGCACATCTAAAAATCCAACTGTTTATGTCTCCAGTCTCTGAACACAGTTAAAATTTTGTGGGACTGGAAAATATAGTAGAGGTTTCCCTCACTTTATGCAGGTTCTGTATGTGTGAATTCACTCTTATGCGATGACCCTTTTTATACCAAAAATTCATTATACGAGAGGTAAATTCACTCTTATGCAATCAGCATAGTGGAAGCCTGGAGTCAGCTGCTTTCTGCAGTGGATTGTGGGAGTGACATGCACCAGAATATAGTCTCCTGTGTGGATCTGTGCTCTTCGTTCATTGTCTGTGACATGTATTTCTACAGTTGTTATCCCAATTATGATAGTGCCCTGTGCTTGTGTGTACTGTCTGCTGTTGGCGAGTACCAAAATTGTCATGTAAAAATGGGTCTGGGGGTCAGTACAGTTGAGGTCTTGGAACGTATCCTTATTTGTTACATTGTGAAGTGGGTTCCCTTTATGTGAATTCAACTTATACACCCTTTTCCAGGAATATGTGTACAGCATAAAGTGAGGGAAACCTGTAAAAGGAAAATCTTCCATGCATATGTACATTAGCAACATCTAGCCACTAGATAAAACCAGCAGTGGGCATTAAAAGCCTGTAAAACTCCTATATCTACTGGTTTAAAGTTGTAATATTCAAACTATTTCTTATATTAACCATCATAAATATTGTGGTAATGTTAAATACATGCAAATGGCAACTGTGAAGATTGTAATTGGAAATCCCTGCGCCAGAACAACAGATAGTAGGAAAATTGGTTATATTTTAGTTCTACTTTACTGCACTTTTATTGGGCAACTTTTACCTTTGTTACCTTGTGGTTAATGTCACAATTATTTTTTTTTTTTTTAATAGATAATTCAGATGATGCTAATTTATGCCGTTCAACCTCGGTTGCCACAGGGCTGAATATAATGAAAAGACCAAAAGTAAAAACAATCTTTCCACATACGGCTGGAAGCAACAAGACCTTACTTAGCTTTGCACAAGGAGACATCATCACACTTCTTGTAGCTGAAGAAAAGGATGGCTGGCTTTATGGGGAACATGACTTGACTAAAGTGTATGTCAATATATTGCCCAGTTTTGAGATAAGGGACAAATGTATCTGACCAGTTTTCCGGGCTTTTTTTTGCTGAAGGTCACTGCTTTTGGACTGTGGGGAAAACTCCTCAGTGGTCACGAAAATGATGCTGTTGAGACATGTATATATTTGCCCTACAAAAGGCAATACATAAACAAAATCCATTTAATACTATCAGTACTATCAAGAGCCAAAACAGGTGGCTAAGATACTATCCAGACTTTACTGTGCTGAGCTTAATGTTACACCATACCAAACTTGAAAAATATATTTAAGTGAAAACATTAAGTTGTCCTTTTCTTTCATCCTATGTACAGAAAAGGTTGGTTTCCATCATCGTACACAAAACCACTGGAAGAACCAGCTGAAAACAGACTAGCTGCGCCAGTGCCAAGGTAATGATGTCAGTTTGAAGAAAGGTTTGCACTGTTTTAAAATGTTTAAACTTTACAAAAATTCTCTCTCCATTTTTTTTTTAAAATTCTCTTGGGGTTTGTCATTCAGTAATATGTTTTTCTTGATTATGTGACCATTCTCCCCCACCCAAAGACTCCTATATTTAAGGTTAAGCACACATGTTCTTTGCCAGATTAGGGTCCAGAAAGCAATATTAATTGTTTTAATTAATCTAATATTTGCCTGTTTTCCTTGTAGCCCTGTACCAATCAGAAGTATCAGTTCTGTAAATCTAGCAGACAAAGGTGGTGTTGTCCTCCCCCCACCAGACTATCTAGGACCCTTGAAAATAGGTGCAGTTTCAGAAAAGAGACTGGATTCTTCCAAGGATACAATTGTGAAAGTACCAGTAGAAAGACCAGACAGCACAACTCCTGTAAGTAAAACTGCATCGTGACTTTTAATCAGATATTATGAGTCCAAATGTTCCTTTCCAGCCCCTGGCCACTCAGAAGTTAGACAGCCCTGATTTAAATATTCTTAAAACAATTCAGAACATGGAACAAAATGTGGCATTCCACAAGACCTGTGCAACTCCACAGAAGTTAACAGTAGTACGTAAAAATGGGGGGGAAAGTCTTCAAATAACCTTCTGCTGGCAGAAGGATAGATAAACATATAGACAAGTCTACACCCTCAAGCACACAATTGAATTAAATACATGTAAAATAAAATAAATACTCTGATGAATCCATTAAATCAATGTTCAAACAATGATGTATGTTGAAAATTGCTAATAGACTAAGGACCTGAGTATTTTATTGAAGTATATCTTGGATCAGTAAATAACCTACTTAGAATGATCAAAGGATGCAAATACAAATGAGAGTACTTGGTCTCTGATATGTTGACAAACCTTGTTGTTATAGAAAACAAGTAGTAGCCTTTATCAAATAAACTGCCTTTCTATTTCTCTGTTTCCTTTTTTATGATAAATTTGGAGGTATGTAGAGGGGGTAGATGCACTTAGATTAGGCAGTCTATTCTCTAAATGTTTGGTAAAGAAAAAAGGGAGCATTTACACAAAGTAAAGAAATAACTTTGTCTGAATTTTCTCTGGGGAATAAGTAACTTTGTTTTGGAAAAATCAGTTGTTGTAACTTCAAAATTTAAACTGGCACTTTTATTTTAATGAAATACACGACCTGTAGTAAAAGATTCAACTGCAAAAATAAAGCCAATTGCCTCAAAAACTGCTAGGAGCTCAGCTACCTGGGTCTTCTGGTAATGCCCTCTCTTTGTATTTGGATTCCTAAATCCACTGTACGGTAGTGGGCTTCTGTTGATCCTCTGCTGTCTGACTTCAGATATTCCACAGCATCCACACACAGAAGAATTCCTTTTATAGCCAAACTTATATCACTTGCAGATGCAGAAACTTAGATTCTCTGCCAAAGAAGTTTTGAGGGGGGGGGAAAACAGTATTTTTCATTAAAAGAAGATGTATGACTGTCAGACTATACAAAACAGCAAATGCTACAGTTGAGATCAAACTGAGTACAGAGGAGGAGGAGGAGAAGAAGCAGTTGCTTGGCAGAGTCGTCTCCCTGTGGGAATCCTGTGTTAAGAAATTCCCAACTTCCTCTCTTTGGTCTGAAAAAGTGCTTTTTGTTTTTGAGACGGTTGAACTTCAAACCAAACCCCAAGCAGCAACCACAACAACAACAAAAATATTCAGGCAGCAGTTAACTGGTTATTGTTGGAACATGGTGACATTTGCTGCTGGCTTTGTTTCTGATATTATTTATGTTTTATGTAATTACCAAAGGTGCCTAGAGTCTGAAATAAACATCTTTTTCTGATAAGATTTAGATTTGTAAGCTTAAGAATATCAAATGGTCTCCGAGAACAATGAATCTACTAAACCTGGTGTGTGGCATGCCAATAACAAAACTGTATCAAATATTATATAATGTATTGCATATCCACTTAAGACTCTCCTGCTTATATTTATTAATTTTCAAGAATTATTTTGTTGTATGGATATAGAGTAGAAGATAGATTCTGGTATCTTACCAGAACTATAATCTCAAAAGAGAAACAGTAATTCAGCTACCCTATAAGCAGTACTCTGGTTATATAGTCACTTCTGTTAGGTCATTTCAATCCATTCAGTGCTCGTATTTCAGAAATATTTTGTGTAACTTAAAATAACAACACTCTTTTTTTCCTGGCCTTCCCACATACTTCTTTTAGGGCAGCATATTACTTTTTGAGGTGCATGCCTGTTCCCTGGGAAAGGAGGAAGCAATTACCATTGCAACACTTGCTAGAACTCCTATCACAATTACCTTCTGTATTAATGCTTCGCAATGGCCATATTGCACTTCTTATAAACTCTGTAGGCAACTGGGCTGTCATCACTTTATTTGCTTCTGAAAGTATTATACTGCTAAAGAACTGGTAACCATGTTTTGTTACTACCCTACCAGATGTTTTCTATACTTTGAACAAATGTGACTAGTTGCTATTTTTCAAGGCAGAAGGGTCTCTTAAATTCCCTATAAGGAGCCTTTTAATTTATGAAGAGTACATTCAGATTGTTCAGTGAAGGCTCTTTGTAAACCATTTCCAAAATTATTTTTGAAGCCACAATTCATGAGGGGTTTTACTCATTACTGACAATCTGCTGCAAAGAACTGCATAATCCTACTATGATGTAGCATTTCTAGGACAATGTATTTCTATAGAAATATACTTTCACACTCTATGAAATGGATTGCCGAGACAAAAGATTTATATTCTAGCCTTTGGACAGTTTGTTGATTTAAGGATCTCTAGGAGCTTCCAAAACAATTCTGTGAACCAAGCACCTATATTTTGTCAGCTGCAATTTTACTTTTTGGATAAAAATGTGTCTTAAGGGTTACATAATGCTGACATTATATATTGGTTCATTTTATTCTGTGGCTAACTGATGTTCAGATCACCTTTTAGATCAACATGTCCTTTTGCTGTAATTATGTTGGCAATGGTTTAAAGATTTATTAGCTCGGTAAAAGTTGCAAAGCAAGCAGTACAGTGAGTTCCCTGCAGTGAGACAGGCAAAAATGTGACTTACTGTAGAACTGTTAAATGGCTGCATCAGTTTTGTCTCAGTCTCACTGTACTATTATATTTTATATGGTCAATTTAGCTCCAGTAACTTCTAAACATTTACTCCAGGTTTTGTTAAGATGAGCAAGTGTAACAATAGTAGCCCCCATGCTTCTGTTGCGCAAAAACAAAACCAAGAGGAAAAAGAAAATCCCTTCTAAAATTCTAGCCAGTTTTCTTGGGAGTAGGGTGAGCTTATGGCTTTTTTAAAAGGAAAGACTGGAAAACCCTGTGAATCCTAAATGTCCACCAGGAAAGAGAATTCAACAGATCCTGCAGCATCGGAGAGGTTATGATTCATTGCTCTTGTCTGGGCCCCTCCCAACCTCTGCCAGAAGAACTTCCTCTGTGGCCATATGCTGCTCCCTGTCTTGGCTACAACAGAGAAGGGAGCTGTAGAGAAAAGTTGCTGCCAGTGAGATCAAAATGTACGCATAGCAAGGAAACTGTAGCTGCTCCATAGTTCTGTTACCTGCCTTATTTACTTCTGCTCCTTTAAAGAACCTATAGAATTTGGAGCAAGTGAAGTTTACACGGGAATCTACCTAGGAGTACAATGCAGAGCTGCTCCCTGCCTCACCCGCTTCTGTGCAAGTCTCTCCCTCTCCCTGCTTCCTCTAAGGCCGTGGAAACCAACTCAGTGTGACAGGAAGCTGTCTGTAAAATTTTGAAATATTTTGTTCCATGTGAACACTACAACAGTATGCAACTTGTAATGAAGCATAGTATGATTCACTGGAATATCTGATCTCTAAAAAGTGGATAGCCTAGGCTAGGTACAGAAATTACACTTAACATGCATTAAGCACAAAGTGCCTTATGGCTGTAATAGAATAGATGCTCACGGCGCATAAAGCACTTAAAAAATGGCGGATCTCACTTTAACGAACATCTGTACCACATCCCATCCTGACTTAAAGTAGGTGACATTCCTCCAGCATCCCAGGGTCCCCTTGCTGGGCAGCTTGCTAGCCTGGGTCAATGCTAATCTGCTCTGTTATAGAGAAGAGACAGAAAAGCCTCTGTCTCTTCCCTATGTGGCCAGGTAGGGAGTGGAAGGAACAGCCCATTCCCCAGCCCCACTGCAAGTACCCCTCCGCAGCTTGCTGGCTGGGGTCCCCAGGGGGCAGGCTGGATCTGTGCAGCAGGGGGACTCCCTTCCCCCACCCGCAGTTCCGGGCATGGCAAAAAGCTGAGCCATGCAGCCCTGTGCTGCAGCTTCTGGCTGCAGCTGTCAAGAGACAGGGTGGAGGGGGAGTGGGGTAGAAGGGAGTCCCCCTGCAGCTGGACCTAGCCCAGACACCCGAGAGACCAGCCAGCAAGCTGTGGGAGGGAGACCTTGCAGCAGGCAGAACTCCCTAAGCAGCCCCCGCCCACCCCAAACGCTGCAGCCAGAGCTGCAGGACGGGGCTTCCTGGCCCAGCTTTTTGCCATGCCAGCAAATGTGGCTGGGGGGGGGGGAAGGGATCCCCCCCCCACAGCTTGTTGGCTGGGGTCTCAGGGGGCTGGACTGGGCTAGGGTACATTCAGCACCCCCTGCCCCAGCCTCTTGACACCTGCATCCAGAAGCTGCAGCACAGGGCTGCCTGGCCCCAACCCCTCATCCCCACAAGCTCCCAGCCAGCAAGCTGTGGGGGGGCCCTCATGGTGGGGAGAACTCCCTTCCTTCCCCTCTCCTTACTCCCCAGCCACCCATGCTGACAGCTGCCTGCTGGCAGAGGGGTAGGGCTGGGGGAAGGAGCCACTCCAGTAGACCCCAGAAGGCATGCAGGAGCCCCCCAGCTTGGTGGCCTTGACCAGCGCAGGCAGGCTCTAAGCCCCTCTGCCGAATGTCAGCCATGTGTTGGGTTCACTCCCTCTCTGTCCTACAGCACTTCAAGTAAAGCACGGTAGTTAAGAGTGCTTGCGCTAGGGGCTTTTTGAACATCTGTATCCAGCCTTAATGGCTTAGCCCCTGGGTTTCTTCATCTGTGTTCTTGGTTTAAATCTGATGAAATTAGTTGTCCAACCTTCATTAAATTTAAAAAAAAAATTCCCTGGGAACAATTTCATTTAAAAAGATTAGTATAACAGCCCACATTTTAATTGTTTTTCCTTGCTTGTTTGTGTTTTATCAGAAACAGCATGCAACTCGAACTCTAGTTTAGAAGTTATGGAAGCATGTATCTAACCCTGAATACATGCTTTCAGTGGGATTACTCAGGTACACTTAGTCATGTGATTCAGCCTCTTGTTGAACTGAGGCCTCCATCAGTATGGATTTCAGAATACCTTTGGACCCAACTAAAATTATGGAAGTTAGAACCTTAATGTATGTAAAGCACAAAGGGTTCATACACATTTTAAGTAATATACTTTTTATTCTGAAAGTTGTACATTGCAAATGTATAAACCTAATAATTCCTTCTACTGGGTGTTTTTACTGTAGACCAAATGAAGAGTCACACATTTATCTAGTTGCTGATCATGTATTCCTGTAGCTACATGTATATGTATATTCAAATTTAACAGTACATTTTCATTCTTTTTGAGCTGCCACTTTCATTTTCCTTTTGATGCCTGTTAGAGTAATTATGCAGTGTTAGAGTTATTCTGCAGTGTAATTAATTTTAATGTACTGATTTATACAGTTGATTTAGTCTCTGGTTTTTCTCATCTGTACTAATACAGTGGAAACTATATTTAATAGCCACAAAACTGTTGAATAGGCATCTGAAAAATATTACTTTTGATGCAAGTTTTCCTTTATCTCAACTGGAAATTTGACTGTGGTAATAACATTATGGTGGTGTAATACTGCCATCTCCTGGATTATCTGAACAACTTCACAAAAATGAAAAGTATCAACTTCATTCAGAAAATAATACACAGTAATTATTTTTTCTACAGAATGTCATGTATCATATTTAACTGTACTGTTGTAAATGTACTGAAATGTTAGAGATGGATAAGCAAATTCCTACATGTATATCATCCTCTTATATACAGTGGAGAAAGGACACATCCATGTAATGTTGCTAACTCTGCCTTTGATTGATAAGGTCTAGTTACATACACATATCTCATACCTTGTATTCCTGCAATTGGGAGTGCAGTTGGGCTGGTATGACAAATGAGAACTAGGTCCCTCCTATTTTGAATTTCAAATATGCCATTAAATTTGGCTGCTATTTTGATTTTTTCACTTGGATTCATGGTATGTTAGGACAAAATCCAGCAACACCCTCTATAAAATTTAACATCAACAGCTGGCCTTTGTAATTGCATTGTTGCAGCTGAACAGGTTTAGATGCAGCCATTTATGTATCAGCATGATAACCAGAATTTAAACTCTGTTCATGTTAATGACTACTGTAAGTAACGGGGCTTTTACATGTTCAGGAGTGATTTTAAAAAGTCCAACATAATCTGCAGCATGCTGTAAATCAATCTAATCCAGTGTTCTCTCTCTCTCTCATTTTAGACTCTCCTTTTACTTTTTATGTGGCATCTCATTGCAAACAATTTTTATAATTCGTTATCTGACTTCTAAATGCCCAATTAGCACTTACGTAAAGATACTCCTTGCAGATCTTGAACCTGATGACAACAACAGAAGGGTTCTCTCTATTTTACGAGTCTCCTCATTCTCCATTTGTGCTATATGTATTCACCTGTAAACTCTATACTGAAGTCCTTTCATTCTTTTTACAGAAACCTGACATAAATGGCATTACAAAACCACCTTTCCTAAGGTATGGGTTGTTTTAAATTAAACTCCCCTAAGATACACTATACTAAAGTTGGTTTTATTTGTATTGGTAAAGACATAAATCTGTTTTGCATTTCATAATGCCTCCTGCTAAATGTGCTAGTAAAACAGCACTACTCAAATTCATCACACTTAAGTTTTCCTAAGCACGGTGGCTGGTGATTGTCAGTGGTAAAATAAAGGAAATTCAGCCTATTCAGAATTTCCATTTATGTGAAAGAAAGCAGGATCAGGCTCTTAAGCTGGAGTTAAAGTGAAGAAACATGAAATACAGCAAAGGAAAATTAAGTCATGTTCTCCAACTAGCTAGTTTTATCTGAATTCCAGAATGGGGAAGTGAAAGCTGTGTCAGACTATTTGGATGAAAAAGTATATATTAGAGTCCTTATCCTGAACCTATAAAGTGTTTGGGGATTCTTTTTAGTCTAGTTAAACTAAGACAGGATAAACTGCATAGTGTTTTGTAATCTAAAACTATGACTTATTCCTCAAACAAGTATCAAAGAGGAAAGGAGATTACACATCTTACTCTGTGATTATTGTACAGCTGACTTGTAAAATTTTACTGTGGCATTCAGTTCCATGTATATTGCAGCTAAATAGAAATGTCATTATTAAAAAGTCAATCTTAGAGAGAAAATACATGCCATTCCTTGAAAAAGGTGTTAAAACCTCCATTCAATAAAACATGTTAAGGACTGACTTAAATCCACCTCTCTTCAGCAAAGCACACAAGCACAAACACACTGCTTTACTGTGCTGTCACTTGAGTTACTTTAGTCATCTAGTTGTCTGTTTATTGCCATTGAGCTTGTAGTAATTTGTAATTTTTTCTCTTTCCAGTGGAGAAAATCCTTTTGCCACAGTGAAACTCCGACCAACAGTAACAAATGACAGATCAGCACCAATAATTCGATGAATGTAACATTTAAATATTTTTACTCTTTCTAAACAGCATTTTTGGCAATATGATTTATAAAGGCTATCTGAAGTTGCTTTTAAACTTTATTTAAATGTAATTACTGTAAAGTAGGAAAATATTGGAATAGATTTCTGATTTTAAAAATTCACTTGCTTCCTAAATGCTCTGGGTTAATGTGTGTGAGAATTTTCGCTTGATTTTACAGTATGCCCTCATCAGAGAGAGAATTGTGAAATATAGGGGAAAGTGACTATTGTAGTTAACAGCATAATTTATCATTTATATTATTTCCCCATGAACTGTTACCTTGGATAAGTTCTAGTATTTAAGTTTCCATATAATATTTACTGACTAGACAAAAGAAAAAAAATGATTTTTTTTAATAGGAAAGAATAATACAATAACTGCCTTAATACTGAAAAATGTTTGCTTGTATAAAATGATTATGTATTTCATTATTTTGTTTAATATAAAGATGTTCTAGGTTATAAATAAATAAATAAATATTTATCCTGTAAATGAGATTAGATGCATCATGCTTTTCTTGATATTCATATATCAAATAGCATTTTAAATGTGTGTAGCACAAAATTATTACAAAAGGTCTGAATTTTTTTTTCCTTTTCTTCAGTAGTGTTCTACTTTACTTTAAAACTAATACTCTTCCAATGAAAAAATATTCTCCTGCAGCACTATAATAACTTTAAAGGGACTGTCAACCTAAATTTGTCAAGTTATAATTTTTATATAAATATTACTGCCACAAAACTTAAAATGCTACCATGATTTTTCAAATTCTAACGCAAGTAGTTGCCTTTTCAACAATTTTCCTATGCCTGAAACATTGCAGCCCTCCATATCCGAAGTTAAAATGCACTGTTTACAGAATAACACAAGAGAAATGCAGAAATATGCTAGATTTTTAAACGTACTTACATGTCCAATATCACCAAAAAATGTTTATTAACAAACAGCATGTAGGTGGTGTCCCTTTAAATCACGGAAATGGAAAACATTTTGGTTCTTTTGCTCATCCATCTGTTATCCGGGATCTGCAGGACTGTTCCCTCTGTTGTATTTTTACAGTTGCACTTAACCATGTTCTGTGTGCCACAGTGTGAATGTAGAACTGAGCCACCAAGCTGAATTCTACTCGTGGCAGCAGTAATGACTTATGACTTCAAATCCTCAGCTAGCTCAGGCTCTGATCTCCTATGGTAGGCAGAGTTTGGGTAAGGAAACCTCTAGAAAAATGTATGGTGCTGCAAGTTTTCCCCCTCTGCATCTCTGCTTACCCAACTCCAGCAAAGTTGTTTTGAGCACCTTTGTACTGTTGAGAGTAACATTTTCCACGTCGTACGCAAAACACAGGCTTTGGCCCCTTCTGCTCACCAAGGACCCCATTCCACATGTTATGAGAGTAGCTGCATCTGTACCAGGATCCTGACCCTAATTTGAATATTACATTCTGCCTCTTGCACAGTTTAAACTTTTTCACGCCTTTTCTAAAACTGTATGGTCATTACTAGCTATGTAAATAGCTGAATTTCTAAGCTAACTAGTTCTAGTATCTAGTTTATAAAAAAAACAAAACGAAAAACTCTGCAGTCCTTCAGCATTAGTCGGGGGGGGGGTAGATGGATGCATATCTGTACTATATGAGCATAAGAGAATGGATATGGACTCTACTTTTGAAAAGGTCAAATGCAATGATCTGGAGACAGATTTCTGTAACTGGCACAAACAAAACACAGGCAATCCTGTACTGAAATGGACTGGTGATTAGTTCAGTAAGTGATTTTTGTCTGACAATAGCAAACACACTGAATTTTAGAAATTAAGTTTCCATGATGTATTGAAGTGGGCAATATGAGATCTCACAAGAATGACTTCCTGCCCTTGTGGTGACCAACTGATACCAGAGCAAATAGTTCTCCAAATTCCCTTAAGGAGATGTTTGGAAAGTGTATAAAAGGGCAAGGCTACTTATTAATAACCATTTTCTAGGCTGAAGGAAAACAGCACTGTGCTTTTGCCCAGTAAGGACAATGTATTTTAGAGCAAGGATGAGACTGCATCAGCTTAGGTGGGTGGTGCTTGGAAAGTTAGGCCCATCTCTTTTTGTTCCTCCTCCTCCTCCATAAAGAAAGGAGTAGTAGTCCCTTACATTCTCTGTGATAGAAGAACCCATTACAGAGGAGGCCTGTTGAAAATTCTCCTCTGTCTTCAGGGTGGATTTGATTTAAAACAAATAGATTTAAATCACTGGTCAGGAAGCCTTGATTTAACCACTGTTTTCTATTAAAAATGCAGTCTTGTTTCATATCCTTTATTAATTTAAAGTCTTGAAACTGCATTTTTAGAGAGGTAAAGGTTTGTCTCTCTGCAAATTTGTGTACACAGTCAAGAGAGCTGATGGGTAAGTAATCAAGTCTAGTGTTTCTCGTCTCCATATACTGCTGTTAACAAGGATGTTATCTCTGGAGAGACAAATCCAGTTTGAGAACTGAAACTAAGCACCACTGAGATGCTTAATGGGATCTTCTAGACTGAGCACTGAGTCCCATTGGGTAGAGTAGTTTTCTTTAATCTTTACTAATCTGTAGAGGAGCCTCTGGGACCTCATAAGATTGGGCCCCTAATATAGCCCATGGCCTGTTGTAACCTATTTATAAAACTTTTCTAACGAGGTTATATGAATATATTGTCTCAAATAGTATATAATTAGAAATTATAATCTCAGTTCCATGATGATATCTTTGAGCTTCAGCAGATCTTAAATTAAAACTATCTGTATATAGGGTTGTTGTTTTTTAAAAAGCACTTAAAAAATTTTAAGATATGATTAAATTAAAAAATCTGATTGAAATTAAAAATTCAGTCTTTTAATTGTTGATTTTTATCTATGCTGGCTGTTTGTTTTTGCAACTGCAAGATTTCTTCCAGCACTTGTGTAGTCTTTTTTTTTTTTTTTTTAATTGTAGTCTCTTGGGACAATTAATCTGTTGTGTCAGACTGAGGGCATAGACAAATGTTTTCTGAGATTGTTTTAATGTGTGGGCCACTCCATGAGCATAGAACAGCTACTAGGATGCATCTGTTACAGCTGAATGATGCTACAGCAATACAATTTAGCACAACTGCCTTAGCTTTGACCCTGAATCAAACAGGGTCAAAGCTGGAGTGGATTTGCTACACTTGTACTATTAGAGGATCATGCAGGCGGTTGCATCCTAACATCTTAATAGGTAATCCTTAGAATCATATAAAATTAGGGTTGGAAGGGACCTCAGAAGATCTAGTCCACCCACCTGCTTAAAGCAGGACTATCCCAAACTGGATCATCCCAGTCAAACCTTTGTCTAGCCCAGGTCTTAACTTCCAAGAATGGAGAGTAACCTGTTCCAGTGCTTTACTACCTCATGAGAGAATTTTTCCTAATATCAAACCTAAAACTCTCTTGCTGCAACTTGAGACCTTTGCTCCTCATTGTGTCAATTTAGCTCCATCCTCTTTGGCACCACCCTATTAAATCCCTTCAGTCTTCTCTTCTCCAGACTAAATAAACCCTGTTCCCTCAGCCTCTCCTCACAAGTCCTGTGCCCCAGCCCCTTAACCATTTTTATTGTCCTCCAATGCACTATTTGTCCACATCCTTTCTGTATTGGGGAGCCACTACTCCAGATATGACCTCACCAGTGCTGAATAGAGAGGAATAATCATTTTCCTCAGTCTGCTCGCAACACTCCTGATAAAGCAGCCCACTATGCTGTTAGCCTTCTTAGCAACAGGGGCACCTGTTGGCTCACTCAGCTTGTTATCCACTGTAACCCCCAGGTCCTTTTCTGCAGAGCTGCTGCCCAGCCAGTCACCCCCAGCATGGGACTTTTCCATCCCAAGTGCAAGATTTTGTACTTGTCCTTATTGAACTGCATGAGATTTCTTTTGGTCCAGTCCTCTCTCTGAATCCTAGCCCTACCCTCCAGTGTATCTACTACTACCCCTAGCTTAGTGTCATCTGCAAACTTGCTGAGGTGTGCTCCCCATCTTTCAGGTCACTGATGAAAAAGATATTGAACAAAACTGGCCCCAGGACCAACCCCTGGGGCACTCCACTTGATGCTAGCTAGACAGAGCCACTGATTCCTGTTGCTTGAGCCTGAGGATCCAGTCAGTTTTCTATGCACTTTACAGTCCCTTCATCCAACCTATACTTCCTTAGCTTGCTGGTGAGAATGTTGTAGGAGACCATATCAAAAGCCTTGCTCAAGTTAAGGTGCATTATGTCCACTGCTTTCCCTGCATCCACAGAGTCAATTATCTTATAGTTGAAGGCAATCAGGTTGGTCAGGCATGATTTGCCCTTCATGAATCTATATGGATTGTTCCTCAATACCTGATAATCACTAATGGAGATGGACAGAGAGAACAACTCAAGTTTCAACCCAAAGTTGGACCCCTTTGTGTAATTAGCAACACTCGAGCAGTAGTACTCCACATGCATTTTTTTTTCTTAGCAGAAATGCACTTAGTTAATCTTCCTATACTGTTCTTCAGACTCCCCTGCTTCTTGTGCTTATCTGAACTCCTAACATCACAGCTTAGTCGCACAGAACCCATAGGCTAAGAGCCCTAGTATCACAGAGGTTACCCATGTTCTGCCTCTAGGGTCCCAAAATTGCTTTGCTTTTTACTACTCTACTCAACTGCTAACCATAGTTGTCAATCCCTGATGCCTCAGTTCATCTTTCCATTTTCCCCTATTACACTGTTTCACATTATTCTTTTCTTGTGGGGGTGGGTATGAAACAATGAAAGCTTTTAATCTGACTTACCACCTTTAACTACTGTTCATCTCTTTAGTTTCTTTAGCATTATAAGAGAAGTTAATAGGAGAGAAATAATACTGCTATTAACCACTGACTTAAGATCAGACACTTCATAAAAGGTGCTATTTGCTTCCTGTTAAAGCACCTTGTACTTTCCCAACTTGTTCAATTACCTTCTGTGTTGTCCCAAATATTTCAGTCTAAATGCCATCACCCTTATAAAACCAATAAAAATCCTCAGACGATATTGGATCCAACATCTGATTTTCTAAAGTGATCAAATCCTAAAGCAAGATTTCATTGACCCATCCTCATGCCTGCAGTCAGTTTTGAAGACAGAGACTAGTGTGCATTTACTTCCATGAGGAAGAAAAAGTAGTGGCCATCATTACAATACTTGCCTCACTGACTTGTCATTTTTCCTCAGTTAAAGTTTCTTAGCTTTAGCCTGCAGTTCAGCTAGCTCAGTGGAGGCCAACCTTCTTAGCAGACAAAAAAAAAAAAAAAAAAAAA